TATTAAATTGTTGCTTTGTTTCATCTGAAAATAGGCCAACATTTCAGTGGAACATGCTCTTTCCGGAAGTCAACATTCTCCACCGATTTAATTGCATGAACCCAAATTCGAATCAGCATAATAACGAGCGCTATGTGAGTCCAAAAAGACTCATTCACTCCACCGATTTAATTGCATGAACCCAAATTCGAATCAGCATAATAACGAGCGCTATGTGAGTCCAAAAAGCCTCATTCAGTAGAGAAATTCCTTCATTGTGATTATCTCCAATGCGGAGACGATCGAAGTGTCCACCGAGATGTATTCATGAAGCAGGAAATCCGTGAAACGACATGCTGCTCAGTATGCTTCGATTCCTAGATAGGTTCTTTGGAGTGCTAGTCTTCGACATTTATGTTGATTTTGGTTATTTCCTGAACACCACAAGTTTGTCGTATGCGTGAATACTTAACGTATTGCTCGAGTTATCTTTCCCAATTCAGTTGTAAGGGTAGCGAATGTTATCAAAACGATTGAAACGATTTCCCAATTGATGCTAATTCATATTTGATTATTCATTTTCACCTGTGATCGCGTGTGCTCTCTACAGTCTTTGTTATGCATGACAATGTTTGTATTATTCATTCATTCTGTTTTTGCCACGTTCAATAAAAGCATTAACAAACGATTAGTTCAACGATCGGCATCATTCACGCAATCTGCAATCACCTATTTCATCACCTATTACCAATGAATCCACGCATGTATGATGATACCTCCATATAAATTGCTAATGTATGATGATACCTCCATATAAATTGCTAGCATTTCTTTTTAATTCATACTTTATTCATGCTCCGATGTCGTGTTCCCTTTGCACTTCTTATGCGAAACACTGTGAATTTTACGTGTTATCAAAAAAATGTCAGTCGACGAATGTGATGACTGTTCAACAGTGACAGCTGTTATGGAATGATTTTATTCATTTTTCATTAGCGACTTTTGCTAGCGATATTGTATTCTCTTTGCAGTTCCTAACATTTGTGA